AGCACTTTGTGAACTCTGGTTTTATGTTAAAGTGCTTTATAAATAAAGGTGGTATGGTATGGTATACTGACATGAGATGTATTCCCGCAGACATTCCCTCTTCCTGGTGGAGAGGTTGTGTAACTCCTGCCTTTCATGAAGCCAGATTAAATGTTCACAGTCTGCTTTTGAATGTCATCAGATTTTGGTGTGAAAAAAATGACAATTACAGACAGTATCAGTCTAAACTGCTTCATTTTTAATATTTCTTTGACTTTCATAAAAACCAATGTTGAGTGTGTCCTACGGCGATGACAGTAAAGAACAAAGTAACTCTTATTATGACTGTTACAGATAGTTCCAGGTGCCTTTACTCCACGTAGAAACCTTTGATCGCACCGTAAGTTAATGTCTTTTTTTTACCACTAGGTGTCACCAAAACATCTAAATCATACATAATTCTTGAGCTAACAAGCCACCTGCAGGACTGAATGAAGCTGCCTTCCACAAAACACAGCATGTAAACTGTCTCAGGGTGACTAAAGTAATCTGTAAATTAATCTCTGTGTGTTTCCTAATGAAGGATACTTTTTACAGGGTTCTACTACAGAGTAGTAGTTACAGGATACCCATACGACTTCGTTTACTCTCATTTCAGCAGTTGGAGTAAGTGGTCACGAGACCTGTTACCTAACGAGTCAGCCCAGGGTTTCCTGGTCTGTCTGTGCACATTCACACACACTGGTAGAATCAGACCAGTCATCAGCAGCAGAGCAACTGATTTTACAAACTACAATATGTTGAGAGAGAGACACACACCACGAAGACGTTAGGCACAGACTGAAAGCAACACAGAGAAATAAGTGGTGTGTTTGAGAGCAAACGTATGCTCTACAAGACAGTTTACGTTCTTCTTCTTTCAGCTGCAGCCTCACGGCTGTTTAACCAGAGACAGCAGGTTAAGTTCAATGAAAATGTAAAAAAACAAACAAAGCTGATGTGCAAGGGTCCACAATTACGTGAGGCTTTACAAAAATGACAAAATATGCAATCAAAACATTACAAAAAAATAAGACATGAAAACAAAAATGATGCACTGATAGCACCTGGGGGGTCATATCAAAGCACTCAGCCGCTGCTGAGTCAAGTTAACCGTGTGAGCTCTGACTTATCGCAGCTGGCTAACCTGAAAAGAAGCAACCAAGGCTTTTTATGGGAAAACTATTTCATTTTTGTTATTTATGTTTTTATGTGTGTCGGTGGTTATTGGGGGAAAGCTTCTCAGAAAGGCCTGCCATGTGCCCAGCTTGTAAGTGGGTGGCATGTACAAGACACCCAAGGGAGTTGTTATAGGCAGTGGGAAGGATACAGTGGACTGTATCCATTACTAATCAGCACCCTGAGAAGGCTGCCAGATGGGCCTTTTGGATCATCTGTGGCCCGAAGAGACAGCTAGCAGCCAACCAATCAGATCAAAGATTGACAGAAGGAAAAGTGTGCACACCATTTTGTTGTTACACAATTTTCTGGCTGAGAAACAACATGATATTTTATTTAATAAATAACAAAATCATTATGATATCATCAAGATGATATCAGGGGTTTTGTATGTGCAACTACTTTAAAAGGCCTCCTGACAGATGGAAGTGCACAAGTCCACTGTCATGGTAAATATTACTGTTGCTGCTATTAGTAAGAACATTATTATATTGTTATTATTCTTAAATATTACAGTTACGTTTGTTACTAACATTACTAATTACTAGCATTTATTACTGAAAGCTAGTCAAACAAAATGAAATTTGCACAACACCGTTGTTGTTTGGGGTGGTGTGTGCATGCAGAGGGGCTACAGGTGGCTCTGAATTTACTTATGCAGAGTGACATCGTTCAAAGATGAAAAACACTCACACATTGAATAAACAGAAGGACATGATGTTATTAGGAGCCCCATTATTGTTGTGTGCTGTTTTTGTCTTTGTCTGGTTTTGTGTCTCCTTTTTTGGCACAGGTAGGCGGGGCTACACTGAGCCTCTGGCACACCTGTTCTTCACCAGACGCATTGATCAGAAGCGTTCTTAAGGAGCAGCGCGACGCATTGTCCTTTCAGGAGTGCCTGTGTGCCTGCTCACCCGTGGAGATCATCTTTATTGGTGCTGAAGCTTTGGTTTACATCCCAGCATCCCGCCTCTCGCCCAGTCTGGCTTCTGATAACGTCCCGGCTCTGCGTTTCTATACACGTCCTGCCTTGTAAATACACTGTGCCTGTAAATAGCTCTTCACTGTTAATACATTTCCTCATTCCAAACCCTCGTGTCTCCTGTGTTCTGCTCTCACTCTCAGATATGTTCTGCCCAGTGAGGGTTTCTGTTGTTATTGTTAGGTATGACCTCGCTGTGGATCATTCTCTTCAGCTACCTCGTTTTAAATCAATGAACTGAAATTGGGATTTCTTGTACTATGTCCTTTTCTACAGACCGACAGCTCTCACAGGCTCATATGTTCAATGAGTCCCACGTTCATTATTGCTGCTGTGTTGGCTCAGTGGGACCTCTGCTGTCATTCATTCCAGCCACATGCTGACAGCCACTAGGTCACTTACACAGGCGTCTTCTCTGTGAAAGACTTGTAGAGGCTCAAAGCTGCCACAGCCTTGAGTTCATTACCTCTCGCTTTCTGTCAGAGGTTGGTCACAGTGTGAGAACGGAGGCTATTTGGGGTATGCATGTACAGCGGTGTGTGTGTGTGTGTGTGGGGGGGGTTATGTAACACTTAAATATTTCAGATCATCAAACAAATTTAAATGTTAGACAAAGATAAAACAAATAAACACAAACAGCACTTCCTGCAGAATGTTCTGGTAGCACCACACTTCTGGCTGCCTTCCCCATCAGTCATCAGACAGGTCTCCAGTGTAGCTCCTCCACCGGCGCTGTAGCGGCTTTTCAGTAAACTGCAGAATGAACTCTCCACAAAGGTGGTGTTATCCCCATGTGAACAACTCACCGAGCACTTTAAGAGCCTGTTTGTACATGGGGCCATCATCAGCATATTTCATTTATGTGTGTCCTTGGCGGTGGAAGCCTTTGGCCTGATGTGAACTTAACCGTTAACTACCTGCTTGCTCCTCTGAAGATCAACTCAAAGACTGTGATAAACAGAATTGTCACGGGCCGTGCGATTTCCGTGAGTCATCTCGCCTCGACTTCTGCAACAGCCTCTACTCTGGTGTTAACTCGTCATCTATTGGCCGACTACAGCTGGTTCAAAATGCTGCAGCAAGGCTTCTGACTGGCACGTGGGAGCGAGAGCACATATCCCCTATACTCGCCTCGCTACACGATCTTGACACTTGTCTTTAAAACATTGCATGGACTAGCTCCTATATATCTTTCTGATCTTTTAAATCGGTATACTCCAGCAAGATGTTTGAGGTCTGCGGACCAAATGCTTCTAGTTGTCCCCAGGTCCAGATTAAAACACAGAGGAGATCAGGCTTTTGCTGTGACTGCTCTGTGGAATAATCAGGACCTCTCCAGCACTGGGTACTTTTAAAACTCAGACCCATTTTTACTCTTTGGCTTTTAATTCTGTCTGAGTCTGTCATTATTTTATTCTTATTATTTTCTTTCATTTTATTTAACTTTTAAATTTTATCTGATTATTTTATTGTTCAGTACTTTGGTCAACAGTTGTTGTTTTTAGTGCTATATAAATAAAATTGATTGATCGATCGATCGATCGATCGATCGATTGATCAAATACTGCGTTACAGTTGCTGCTAATCTATTGATTAGTTTGAAATATCAGGACATGGTGTTCTTGACATAACCTGGTGCTGTATCTGATCCCAGACCAGTGGGATGATTGATATTACTTCCACCCCTCTAATGAAGCCAGGCTCTTACTCCCCTGTAGTTAAAGTACTGCTGGGTTTCCCAGTCCATGATAAACAAAGACAAAGCAAACTTTTTCCCCCTTTTTTGGATAAATATTTAAGTTGTTATAACAACAAAAAAAATAGCTGAGCTTTTCTAAGGCAAAGACACAAGATTTAAATTATATCACAAAATAGAAGCAATAAAAGAAAACAGTGCAGAGCTTCCATGTGTGGCATTTGCTTAAAACTGAAAAGTTAAAACAGAAGAGAAGAATGATGAGATGAATGCATGGATGGGTGGATGTGTGATGGAAACTGGAGCTTTGAAACAGGAAGCAGTTTAAATGTATAACAGTAAGTGTCCCAGTGTTTCTCTAAACCTTTACAGGATTACACACGACAATCTTGCCAAAACAAAAGGTGGGACAGTGCCAACCACAGAAACAGGATGACGTCTTCTGGGTCCAGAGGTCATGGAAGATATATCGAGTCATCCCGAAGTGATTCGGATATAAAATGCAAATCACCTGCTGACTGGCTGTTAAGCCACATCCCACGAGGGCCTCTGAGTACTTTCTTATTAAAATGCTCCTGGCAATATTCAGCTTCCTGCTGCTTTGGTCACCCTGTGACTGAGCTTGTTGGAAACCTCTATCAGCGACTAGCTTCATGCATAACAAGTTCAATTCATTGCTTTAATAACAGAGAAAACTCTGCATCTTCTAACTGTAATTCACATCAGAGCTTTAACATTTTCCATCAGTCCATGAAGATCTGCTGTAAAAAAGACGGACCAATGTCCTTTGGGGCTAAATTTGTAATGTAAAAATTGTAGGAAGAGGAAATTGTTCATTAAATGTACTGAGCATGTGAACAGCTGGGAAGACGTTTATCGTCAGTGTTTAGTGCATGACCACTGTAACATCTGACATTAGTCACATACTGCTTTAAATGCAATTCATTATGATGTGTGAGTTTTATTAACATAGCACCAGTTAACAATTACATTTCACTCAAAGTGCTGCCTGTGCATGTAAATCTTCTCTTTGACCACTGGAGCCGAATCTGCCAAATATCTGCAGAGTTCAAGAATCAATACTTCAAATATAATTGTTAATGCTAAGCTGAAGTAAACACTAACTATTGTTCTTACATTTATTTGGGCCAAATTAATTACATTTAACACAGTGCCAAATCACAACATCAATCACAAGGAACATAATAAGACTTTAAATGATAGTAAATAGTACACATAGTTCAACATAGCATACACGTCCATGTACACAGTATATACCTGCCTGAGGTCAGCTCTGGAAAGCTGCTGAAACACTGACACTTTCATCATTGTGTAACACAATGAATCCAAACATTATTAATGAAACAGAGACTTGTTGTTATCAGCAGAACATTATTTTCATCATGTCAGTGAAAACAAAGCTGTGACAAATGTGGTAAAGATGTAATGCAGAACAACAGCTCACCATCGAACATTCACCCAGCAGCTGCTAAAACAAACAAAGTGGAGTTACAGAAACACACAAAATGCATTTGACATCCTTATAATAATTTACTACGTAAAGCAAAACAGAGAGGATCACAATATCACACCACATTTGTTCTGTTCATCCAGCATGACAGCTGCAGCAAAAACACCATGGAAACGGCTGTGCATTCAATTTAAATGTAGTTTCAGGGAGCAAAGTTCTGGATAAATGCCCTGATATTTTAAAAGTATTCATGTGTTTTGGGTAAAACCTTCAGCGATTTGGCCCACAAGAAGAAAAAGTCATTATGTAGCTAACAGATTATTATTATTATTATTATTATTATTATTATGGGACTCTGCATGTTTTCCTTGTGTGTGTGTCCGTCTGTGTCTGTCACATTACAGGTTGTCGTCCGCAGACAGTTCGGTGAAGATGACTTACTGCTTTCTCATCATGCGCTCCAACAAACCCTAGCTTTTTCCCTGTTATTGTTGGCACTACTGAACTTCTTAAGAACTCATCCATTTATATGCTGTTTATTAATTATGGAAAGGCTTGTTTAATTCCCCCTGCACCTGGTAAAACTGTCCCCGGAGTTGGATGTCATAGGGACCAAGGTCTGAGCTGGAGGCCTGATTGATGGGACAATAGCGGAGACCATTGTGACAACTTCGGTAGTCGACCGGTTCCTCGTGTTTGAGGGTGAAAAGCCCACTGAAGTTGAAGGGTGGGCTGAGAGTCCCCATATCCAGAGAACCAGAACTGTCTGGAGAGGAACTGTCGTTTACAGACTCAAAGGGGCTGCAGAAAGAGCCAAAGGGCCGCAGAGACCTACCGCTACCCGCTGTGGTGGAGCCCCCAGCCTCGGGACCAGGATGGTGATCATAGGCTGCGTACAGAGACAACGACTCCTCGTCGGGTTGTGAGATGAGGCTGCAGGTGTTGAGCTGGAGACAGCCAGCGACAAGGTTAGTGGTTGGCTGAGAGAGACCTTTGCACAGAGTCTGAACGAATGTGAGCAAGTCCAGCCTTTTGCCAGTGCTCAGGATCTCACTGAGAAGCCAGATGTAGTTCTTGGCCAAGCGGAGGGTTTCTATTTTGGACAGCTTTTGTGTCTTGGAATAACAGGGAACCACCTTTCTCAGGCTGTCCAATGCATTGTTAAGTCCATGCATACGGTGTCTTTCCCGCGCATTTGCTTCAATCCGTCGTAGTCGAACCCGGTCCAGGCGAGAGTGGCTCAGTTTCTTCTTTTGAGAAGCCCTTCTTCTGAGCCAAGCTGGATCTCCTGCTTCACTTTCCTCCTCCTTCACTTCAACATCCCTCAGTTCATCCTCCCTCCTGGTATCAAGGCTTTCCTCTGGGGCTCTGTCAATCTCTGGCTTAATCAATTTGACTAATTTGTTAGAGGTCCAACTCATCCTTACTGAACTGATGGTTTGATTGGAGGACTGTTCATCAAATGGCAAAGTCAGCATGCTGTCCTGCACGTTAATGGTGGGGAAAGAAAAATTAGATACAAGGCTTCAAACCTTAGAGGATACAAATCCCCAAATTAGGAAAAAACTAAGCAGAAAATTTGACTGTACACATACGAAACATCATAATCTCATTGTGCAAAATATCACAACAATTAGGAACAACTGGGATATAACAAAAGTCCTTATCATGTGAAAAATACCAGTGATAGATACAGCTGAAATTAATTACCCGGCTTACCTCTTTTAATTAGTAGGCTGTTATTATTTTTCAATGACGCACTAAATAACTTGGCTCACCTGGCTCTGTTGTTCAATTTTAAAAGGTATCGTCCTGAAGCCTCCAAGTATCTCGACAAACACGTTCTCCTCCCTCTTTCTCCTGCTAGCGTCTTCTTCTTGTTGCAGCCTCACAGACACTGATGCCATCTGCTGATGTCCTCTCTCTCTCCCTCACACACACATGCAAACTAGCTTCGTATCCCTCTTCTCTCTCTGCATCACTCTGCCTGTGCCTCTTTCCCTCTGCTCCTAACATGGTGGATGCTGATCTGAGTTTTTAGACTTCACATTGAGCTGCTATAGTCACACAGTGAGCTGAAGCTAGTTGGGCACTTGTTCCTGTCAGCTGTCTAGCTTACACCTTGCAACGTGCTGTCACGTGCATATAACCAGTGGTGGACTGGCCATCAGAGGACCAGTGGCCTAAGGGTCGTTTTGGCCTGCTGTGAATTTTCAACTTGATCTGCACATAGTTTATGGACCGCAGAGAGTCCATGCATCAGGTGCAACTCTCGGCACAGACGAGAGCCATAGTGATGCCTGATGTGCCAATATCTTTACTTGTAATGGTAAAAAGACTGTGGTGAGCAGAATTTAGTAACAGGGTATTTATTTATGTACTTATTATAAATAAAAGTGCAAATTCTTTATCTTAGTGCATCCTCAAATTGGACAGAGAGTATTTTACCAACTGAATTGTCATCCATGACCCATTCCTATTCCATAGTCAGTGTAACAGATTCAAATACTCATTATGCCTTTTTGGTTAGAGGCAGCATTTAGACTGGCCCTGCACCATGACAGGCCTCCAACATGTGTTTGATGAATGCAATGCTCATCTATCTGGAAGACCATTAGGAAAGAAAGAACTGGATGTTAAATATGTATGAACTGATACTCTCTGCACAAAGTACATTTGTCTCTTCTTAACTTTGGATAATCTGGAACTATTTGGAGTGGCCTGTCATCCAGGCCATTTATAATGACAGTAACTAGCTCTTAATGAGAAGTCCCTCCTAACCACATTAGTTTCTTCTTCCACATTCAACGTGAAACATGGTAAAGTAGACCCCACAACGATGCAGCACAGTGCAGAGCAGCTACCTAAACTCTCCATGCACAGAGGTTGTTTCAACAGTACCCAGAGTCAATATGTGACACAGGGTACTGTTATCATTTTCCTGAATCCTATACAAATAAGTCTTCTAAAAACAGCACGCCCAGGCACTCCAGCCTGTTGCAAGCAAAAGCAAAAACGTATTCGGTGGAGAACACCTGACTGTTCTGTAAAAAGTTTGAAAAGGTTTTAAAAAATAAAAATAATTTTTATAGGTACTAGCTGCATGTAACTGTGTTGTTTTAAAACTTGTGCATAGTTTTTTAAAATCTACAGTTTCTATTTCAAGTTGTGATTCATTAAACATGTTTGTGGTTCTTACAGTAAAAACTTGTTTCTACTCTGATTTTATGTTTTTTGTCTGATTTTAGATCCATTGTGGTAATACAACATGTCAAACTAAAAAACATATCTGCTTTTATCACAGGAAGACGCGGTGCTGTGGCTGTTGTCCTCAGCTCCCTCTGTGCAGCCAGAGGTTATACTGTGTGTTGATGCAGAGAAAGCCTTTGACCAAGTAAATGAGATGAAAAACAACATTACTTGTTGTTACATGGAAACAGTTGTACTGGCTCAGGTGGTCCCAACAGTGCTCACTGGGACCTGGTTCTTCTGTAACCAGAGCAGTCAGGCTGTTTTGCTGCAAAAAGCTTGTGAAGCTCTTGAGAGAGCTCTTTAGTTTTATCCATCATGGGTGTTTCTTTTGTGACAGCTTAGTAATGAGAGTAATGTCGTGCAGTTTGAACACTGGATTTGATGACGATGAAATTCCATGAAGAGATTAAATCCAGCAGCGACTGAAGAACTGTGGTGTTGTACATTTCCCTGAGGAATCCAAACTAATTAAAATCGAGTTTTTAATTTAACCTGCTTGTTTTTGAGGACTGCCTTTGCATTTCTCACTCCATGACAGAACACAAAATAATCAATACACTGACTACTCATTTTTAATCACTAAAAGGGTAATAATTCAGGGAACAGCGTGCCAGTGATGTGCATGGTGCTGGTCTGTGCGTAGTCCCACTAAAGGATGCTTGGACATCATGCTACGCTCATAAAATCTTTATTTGACAGTTTGGTGGGCGTCATTTTATGGGACTAGCCACATTTGTTCAGTTCCCCTTCCTCTTCCTGCAGGGACAACAACCCTTCACATTCTTGTGTAATCACCAGTTAATCTAATCCCACTAACTGCATGTCTTTGGACTGTGGGAAGAACTGGAGTACCCACAGAGAACCCACACAGGGAGCTTTGAGTGAGTGTAGGCACTGAGGCCTGCATTCAGAGCTGTGACGGTCCGTCTCCTGTGGAGCCCACCACATGTGAGAGTGGGGCAGGAGTGTCACCACGTTTTTGAAAACTCACTTTCAAGAATTCACAGTGAATTTCAGTATTCGTAACAGTTTGCTTCAGTCAGCCTTATGAGCTTTGGCTCAGAGAAGACAACAGTGTTTGTGGAGCACAGTCGCCTGGCTTTTCCTTTACTCTGTTTGTAGACAGCAAACTCAGGAGCCCGTAACAGCCATGACAGACTTGTGCCTGTGTTTGTCAGCTGAGGCCCAAAAGACCATCTCTGGACAATCAGCCTCGTCAGCTTCCTCCATCTCAACTTTTCTGAGTTTTGTAGCTGCTGACATTTAAAATGAGCTAATATTTTTGAGGAAATAATACAATGACTCAGTTCTAACATAGAATGTTTTCTGTGTTCGATGGTGAATAAAACGTGTTTGTGAGATTTTAAAATCATTGTGTTTTGTTTTATTTACACTTTACACACAATCTCACCTCTTTGTGGAATTTGCTTTATAATCCTGTCTCCAGTTTCAAGGAGAAAAATGTGTGTGTGTGTGTGTCTGTCTGTCTGCGTGCGTGTGTGTGTGTGTGTGTGTGTGTGTGTG